ACGAGTAAAGGAATGGAGCCGGTCAGGAGCCAAAGCATCAAGATAATCTTTGAGGGGGATACCGCGACCACACCCATAAGGGTGGCAGCCACCAAGTCGGCAAGAGGGTCTACATCGAAGAAGACTGACACGGATTACGTGATGACGGAGAAGGACGGGCAGCGGGTCGATGGAGAGGAGGTTATCCTTTCGCCGCGAAAGAGGGGAGTGAAGAAGTTCTTAATGAAGAGTTCGCTGGACGAGATTGACACGGTTGAGCCACTGAGGCGGGCCCTTCGGCAACCAATGCAATGCTCTATTCTGGAGTACCTGGCGGCATCAAAGCCGGCTCGTGATGAATTACAGATGATCACGCGGAAGACTTGCATACCTCTATCAGAGGAGGGTCAGGGGGCCCCTAAAGCGGAAGCTTCTACAGTAGCGGTGACGGGGGTGACTGCGAGAGCGGATCGCATGGCGACAGTCCTTCTCGATGGGATGGAAGGTGTGTCTCCAGATAAGTTTTATATACTTGGTAGCGGGGCCGTAGAGACGATTATAAAAGATGGAGCGATACTCGATGCTGTGATTGATAACGGCAGTGAGGCTGTCATCATAGACGAGGACCTGGCAGTACAAGTTGGACTGGGCCTCGATAGGTCATACCTATTCGAGATAGAGACGGCTGATGGGAGAAAGCAACAGATCACTGGGGTTTGTCACAAGGCAGCCATAGAGGTCCAAGGGGTAAGAGTGACCCTGCCTGTCTTTGCAGTCAAGAACTGCAGCTCCGACCTGCTCTTGGGTCGAACGTGGCTGAGCCATGTGCATGCGGTGACAATAGAGCGACCTGATGGGAGCCAAACATTGTTCATTAGGAAACCAGATGGGACGCGGGTAATGATTGAGACAGTGGAGCCTCGGGATCCTAGGAACAGAGCAGCTCTCGCTGTGGGTGCGAGACCCAGTGATCAGATTAAGTCGTTGCCTATCTCCGGCCGCGCGGTGCGATTTCGCGAGAAGARATATGGACCACTGCTCACAGAGGAAGAAGGTCGGATCGTGGAGGTGGAAGATTTAGGGAGTCGGCTAATAGTGGACGGCAACTCGTACCCGAAGGAAAAAGATGAGGAATTTGGCGGTGTGGTATCCGTGTCTTTTTTAAGGGCACGGCCCCCTATGGGGGGCTACCCAAGCGACACAAGCGAGTAGCTCAAAAAGTTAAGCTAGTGGCGGTGGGCCGCGAGCGATCTGCACTGGAAGGGGTATTAGAAGAAGAGATCGCGAAAGAAATCAAAGAAAGAAAGAAAAAGGAGCCACAACGCTTAACGGAAGAGATTGAATAGCAGGGATGGACATCGGAGACGGAAATCTGACCCCACAGGAGCGAGGACGTGTGATAGAAATTCTGAAGACATGTGATAAGGCAATAGGTTTCAGCGACGCGGAGCGCGGTAGGATTGACCCTCGATACGCTAAGCCAGCAAGAATTTACACAATACCACATGTTCCCTGGAACGACGCGGGATGAAAGTACGCCCAGAAGGAGAAGGAAGAAGTTATCGCTTTCCTGAAAGAAAAGATGGTTTCCCACATTGCGGAGCCGTCTGATAGCGCTTATGCAAATCGATGGTTCTTCCTACGAAAGCCGAATGGCAAGATCCGATGGATCCAGGACCTTCAGAAGGTCAA